GACGTTGAAAATCATTCAAGAGAAGCTACAAAAAGCAAAGGAAGAGCTTGATAAAAGACTTGAGGATGCATCTACATATACTCAAAAGGAGCATGACGTGCTGACTCTCATTCTGAAAGAAATGGATGAACGCTTAGAGAAGAGAAACATCCTCAGACAATATGATCACGCGCTAAACATCAGGAAAAACTACATCAAAGCTCAGAAATAAAAGCAAGACGACACTTGATCACAAAGGGGGAGATTGTTGAAGAATATTTTATCGTGTATCAAGTTTGTCAAGAGTCTTGTATTAGTATAGCCTTTACTACTCATTGATTGTATTAATTGTTGTATTTATTAGAGTAGAAAGGGTATGGGGCCCAAATGTCTGGCCCATATACCAGTCTTAAAGACTGTACGCAAACCTACATGCGCATATAAAAAGGCGCTTAAGGGTTAGATTTGCGTTAACTTTTGCATTCGATCTTTACAGCCTTAGAGCTTATCATTCTTGCTGTAGAAGTTCACGGTATATCAAAAACAAGTTTAAGGATCTCCAGCGTTTATCTTTCTGCTATTCTTATCTTTGAGTATCGTTATATTGCTGTAATCATATAAACAGGGACAAACAACACCCGATAGTAACTCGTGGTGTCGGTTTCTGCATCCGGATAAATGCAGGGTTTTGGTTTTGAGCACCCGGTAGTAACCCGTGGTGTCGATTTCTGCATCCGGCTAAATGTAGGGTTTTGGTTTTGAGCACCCGGTAATAATCCGTGGTGCCGGTTTCTACATCCGGATAAATGTAGGACGGTGGGTCGGTAATCACCCCAACAATATTTATGGTGGGTCGGTAATCACCCCGACAGTTTTGAGGTTTAATTGTATATTTTTGGGGAAGTGGTATTTTTGGAAAGTTACATTTTGGAAAGAGGACTATGGAGATTATTTTCAAAGAGAAATTGAGTATATTTAGAACGAGTGATTAGATATAAGGTTATTTTTGAAAAGTGATACTCTTACATGAAGGTGTGAGTTATTTAGAGTTTATAAAGATCATTTTAAACATGAAAGTAGTTTTGGGGAAGAAAATGGATTTTCAAAGATATAGTATGTAAGAACAACTATTTTCGCCAAACGTGATTATTTTACGGGGTTAGGTGGGCCTTACTTAGCTAAAAAACTAATTTTTGTTTCTTTTTCTTTGTTTTGTTTTCTGCAATTTAATTGTGCAGGTGAAGAAGGTTATGCATGATGATTAGAGCTGCGTTAGATTACGTAGTTTAGTATTTATAATCACCTAGTTATTGTTTATTTCAGTTTGAGAACATGTAGACATTTAAATTATTCTTTTGAAATTTTCAGTACTTAAATACTTGGATTATTTTTGGATGGTGGTTTAGCCTGTGCATTCGGTTATGTGAGAACCGAGTGTGGCGGTAACACCCATTGATCTTTTGCTTCCGCTGCAATTCAAACCGTTTTGAACTTAAATGTTTTGGGAAATTCTTTCTACACCTGTTGTAGTTAGCTCCAATTTCGAGTATAAATTTGAAGGTGTTACACCACTCTCCCGGTAATAACAAGTTTTAGGACATCGCCCGACCCTGGGTGCTTCACCCCTAATATCCAAGTTTTGAGGACACCGCCCGGCCCGTGGGTACTCCACCCGAACCTATGATCTACCATATACCTTACCCGGTTATGGTCTATATCATCCCATTACTAATGACTAAATCATCATATATCAAGCCTTAGCATTTAAACATCATGTTCCTTGCAATTCCATGCAAAATATACACATATAGGATGGTCGGGGCCCATTCCACCTTGAACTGGGCCCCATAACAAATTTTATCAAAAACCGGCCCTGAAACCTGTAGCCGAACCAGTGCCGATTCACTGCCAGACCGGCGCCGGTTCACTACCAGACCGACGCCGGTTCACTTGAAGTTTGTGAACCGTGTGGTGGCAGTAGCTTAACCGGCGGCGGTTCCAGCCCCTGGCTGGCGCCGGTCCACCGTCTGCCAGCGGACAACACTTCATTGACCGCCCAAACCTACTCCGATTGTCCCAAAACCTTTATACTTTATGTATTAAGTTATAAACAACCAATGAATTTCATTTTGGCCATTCAAAACACCACATATGTTTTTATATTAATTTTATACCTTTTACATGCATATTCATGTAGTTTTTATTCACATAAGCCTAATCACCTTGACTAATCACATGCTTAAGCTCTTTTAAACATCATTATGAATACATATAACATTTCCTTAGGTAATCTTATACGTTAACCAAGAGTTATAAGATATTAATCCACCCACTCACCTCGAATGAACGTTAAGAGGTTCTACTCCTCTCGATTGAACTTTGGCGAAACTCCGGTGAACTTTATTGTACTCCGGCGATAATTCTGGCGACTCTTTCAACTTTTTGAAAGCACTAGGAACACCTTAGACAAGTTCCTAATAAGGTTTCATCATCACAAAACTCATATCAACACAAATAACCTCTAAGAGGTTATTTTCAAGCGAACTGGTAACTTTGGCCTCAAAGTCCGGTCGTGGACTTAGAACCACCTTTCAACCCCTCATTCTACACTTCTAAACATGTAGAACAATTCTAGAGTTTCCTCATATGATATATAAGTCATATGATAGATAATGAGTAGAGAAAAAGTTATTATAAAGTCATTACTTCAATCCTCCACACTTTTTCTTCCTTTTTCTTCCTTAAACCTCCTTTTTGGACCTCTTTGAGCTTGAGCTCGAATTTGGCTATGGTAGATGATATTTTCGGAGCTCTCTCTCTCTTCTCACCCAACCCTCCAACCTCCAGCCCATAGCTCTCTCTTCAAGCATTATTTGGTTGTCTCAAGTTGACTTTGAGCACACAGAAACGTGGGGTGGCCCCCACTAATGTGGGAGGTCATCCAATATGTCTCGAAGTCTACATTTGGCTCCGAAAGTTGTACTTCTCGGACCATTTTAATTATATTTTATTTTATCTTTTTTTATCTTATTTTATCTTTTTATTTTTATTTATCTTTCTTTTCTATTTGACTCTGATATCGTGGATCGATTCATGCTAGCCAACCTCAAAATCTTTGGGGAATAAAGCTTGGTTCTTGTTGGTGTATGACACGGTCTAAAAACGTATTAATACATTGTTTTAGGTATGTCAGACCTGCCATAGATAAGAGTCATAGGACCCTTAAAACGTCTAGAATCGTGTATGTTCGTGCATCATAGTCTTTGGTTCGTGCGTCGAAGTTTTCTTTAACAAAAGGGACAATATCACTTGAGCATTGGAAAGAGTAAGAATATACTTCATTCGTCCCTTATAGTTTTTCCATTTTTCCTTTGTTGGTTGTCCTAAACACTTTATCACTTTCTCTTTTAATCAATTAATTTGCAATTTCTATTATTTCTCTCTGTTTTACATAAATTTCACCCACATAATTTTATTCTATCATTATTCGTGTCAATCAAATTTGACAAAATTCTAGGGGTGAAGGGTGTATTATTTGACAGTTTCCATATCAAATAATACTTTGTATATATTAGCCATGAAAAGCAAAAATCTTACTCAAGCTTTATCTTTTTTCCATATTAACCAGTTGAATATTGGAAAATTAGAAACTAATCTTCAAGTAAAAAGTTAGCTACTAATAGCTTGCCACTCTGTATTAATCTCCTTTTCCCTTAAAACTTCATCAAGTTTAACCGACACGAGGACTAATTAATTAAAAACCGTGTAGTTGAGATTTGTGCAGAGGAGACACAAATATCTGGAATCACAAATTCTTTACTTAAAAGAAAAAGTGGCAAAGTTAGTGTGTTAACAAAAAACGAAAAGTTGACAAAGTTTTAAGAAGCGAAGGGAGTATATTACTCGTACAATAATTGAAGTATGGGAAAGTGATAATTCATTTGCCCCAAAATGATTCACATTTTTCTTGATTAACAAAATTTATTTTATTTACTTATTTAACATAATCATTTTTACTGTGTTTTAATTTAGATTTTGTGACTTTAGAGAACTCTCAATGTAGTTCTTGACATATAACTTTTAAGTTTAACTCTTAAAAGTGATTTAACTATTCACATGGATAATTTTATTTTATCATCAATCAATCTTAAAACCGTAAATTGTAAATTAATTTGTCAGGATGAAGTAGAAAATTAGAATTATGTTATTGATACTAATCTAGAGTATTATTAAAATATAAGTAAATGTGGGCCATATAAATACTATTCCGTATTAAATATAATAATGTGCAAGTTTTGTTTGACATATGAAAGAATAAATATGGTAGAGATCATGAATTTCTCAATAATATAAGTAATAAAATGGCGATTTACTTTAAATATGAGGATTTTTTCTTTCAAAATAAGAATAAAATACTGTCATTTTAAAGTCGTGCGCTCATATAATGACATGGCTAAACATAAATGTGTTAGTATTACTATCCTAATCATTGTACATAATACTAGTACTCCCTCCGTCCCGCAATGAACTTCTCACTTTCCTTTTTTGGATGTCCCTGAAATAAGTTCTCAATTCCTTAAATGACAAGTTAATCTACATCAAAACAGTGCAAAACAGTGCCAAACAGTGTCGAAACAATGTCAAAACAGTAAAATTTACCACGTAGTAAGATTATTTCCTTAATATGTGTGTAAGTCAAATTGTGAAGTTCATTGTAGGACGGAAGAAGTATGTTTTAAGGAGACAATAGTCGTTGATATTTAGAGAAAGAATAATAAGGAAAAAATCTACTAATTTGAGGTAATTCTTATTGTACACAAATTGTACATTGCCTGTGTACAATTGCATTTTAACATAAAATCTTGTCACTTCTCAAACGAATTGCCCGTGTATACAATCAAGTAGAAAGGTTGTGCACAATTTATGTATTAATTTTGCGTACAAATTTAATTTTCCATTAATTTTTCTCCTAGACTAGACTAGTTACTCAACCTCACAAAGATAAAAGTCTAAAGAAAGCCTGCAAAACGGCTGTGAGATAGTTTATTGCTTTCTTTTTCTTTATACGGAGTAGAATATAAGATCAGAAAACCAACGCCTCTTCCCATTTAAGACGCTTCCTAAACGCGTCTATACATACACACATTCTATGCGTACATATTGTTATGTGTATCATACAAACACATCATTTCTTTCCTGAATTCATCAATTTAAATGTATACTGTATTCCAAGGGGCTTTCACTCCGGATTTCGCCACATCGCCGAGAGATGTATATGCATACGTGTATGAATGTCTATAATTGAGCTGTTAATTTGTATGTTGGGGATTTTCTTTCTCAGGTACCTTTCTCATTTGGAAAGATTAGTCTGAACTTCAATTTCTTCTGCTGAATAGCTGTTATATATGGGGATTTTGAAATTTGTGTTTGTATGCGGAATTCGAGTGATTATAGTATGTTGGTTTCTTTTATTCTGCTTGCTTTAAAGTTAGCTCGATCTTTGCTCAATTGATTGACTTTGTACGATCAGGAATTTAGGGCTATTGACTTATTGTTGAAGTTGATCATCTGGTGAGAAGCGTCTCGATCTAGGATTACTTTTGAATGGTAGAAGTTTTCTCTTCACATACTTGATTGCTCCCTTTTAAATGATAGTGGAGAGATGGATTTTAGTGTAGCACCACAAGGCAGTAATTTTTATGATCTGAACTTTCAATTTCTTTAACCACATAGATAGATTGTGGCTTCACTAAGGCAGTTGTTTGAAGTGAAAAATGCTGTGTTAAATATGTTTTTTTTTTTGCATATAGTACCTGAGCTCAGATATTTTGAATTTTATTATGAAATGGTATTTGTTGGAATAATATCACATGACAATTATAATTTCAATTGAAATTGAACAACTTTTTTTGAACCTTGTATGAATTTAAAGTTGAACAACTGCTGTAACATTGGGATCTGGTGGTTTATTTGATTTTAAGACTAATGCGTATTACATATTAAAAAGCTAGTTGTTCTAATACAACAACATCCAACCCTTAGTCCCAAAAGATAGTAAAAAAAGCTAGTTGTTCTGATATTTGATTAAATCCATACTGATCAATTGTGGCTTCCAGAAGTTATCTCTGTCAATTGAAATCCTCTAGTTCTCTCTATTCTTACTATATATTTCCCCATATTGATGAGTTCCGGACATAAGACTTGAAAACCCTGGATGCTTCTGGATGACATTCCCCCCCCCCCCCCCCCCCCCCACCTTTTTGAGAAATGACCGTATAAAGTGCTTGTTCTTGTCAAGTTTAATTGTTTCTTTTCACCCCCTTTCATATACCAAGACAAGACAAATGGGCTACATTATGATATGATCCTGCAAAAGCTGTGGTTTCTGCTCTGATAGATGCATGATTGCATGGTCAGATGGCCAGGCAAAGCAATGGTAGGAAGAAGGCGCGATCTGAGTGTATAGGTTCTGATCAGTCTGATGAGGATTACATGTTTGATGAAAATGAGTGTGATGAATCAGAGGATGAATACTCCTCTTTCATCGAAGACGAGTCTGAGGAGTGTGTAGGTGCATACACAGATGTTAAAAAAGAGAAAGAGGCGAAGAGGAAGAAGGCGAGGAATGCAGTTAGACAAAGAGCATCAAGGACAAAGAAAAAGAGATCTGTAAGACCTAGAAAAAGGAAAAGAGTTTCATACAGGGAATTTGATGCTGAAGACGATGACAATGATGACGAAAATGATGAGGACTTTAAACCAAATGAGGTTCTTGGTGTACATGATGAAGCTGAGTTGACCATCACAAATGGGAATACAATGTTGTGCCGGACACGTCTGCACACTCGCATTTCCAAAGATGATGACACTGAATACACACCAGATGATGTTGATGGTACTACAGATGCGGAAGAAGAAGAAGCACTGCCTCTGACAAACAAAAAGTCTGGTAAGCTACGATTGCGCAAGTGCATTCCCAATATGGAAGAAGAAGAAGATGATGATGATGATTACGATGAGGCTGATGATGAAGAATTCACAATAGATGAGGTTGATGGTGCATATGATGAGGAAGATGTGTTTCCTGTGATCAAAAGCAGCAAGAAGTTGAGAAAGAGACGATTACATAAGGGAATTGCCAAAGGTGAAGAGGGTGATGACAGTGACGAGGAATTTAAACCGAATGAGGTTGATGAAGTTGATGGTGTATATGAAGAAGAAGAGTTTCTCTTTCCATCGGAGAGTGAGACACGGTTGCAAAGAGGCATTTCCAAAGGACAAGAGTATGACGATGATCATGATGATGAATATTACTCCACTCTAGTTGAGGTTGATGACTTTGATGAAGAAGAAGATGATATGTCCATAATGAGAAGGAGTAGGAAGCTCCGCCGGACATGTCTAGACAAGGGCGTTGCTAAAGGGAAACAGTGTAAGACTACTACCTCTGAAGTCTCAATGAAGATCACAAGGGGGAAAAGGAGAAGTAAATGCGGAGTGAATAAGAGAGGAAGATTTGATGAAGATGTGAAGTTAAAAAGTATTACCTCTGAAAAAGAAACGGATAAGATCACTAAAGAAGAGAGAAGGAGTAAGAAGCTAATTGTACATTCAGATTTGAATTCTAGAAATTCTGGGCCATTGGACTATGTGTACAGTATCTCTGAAGAAGAGAGAGAACAAGTTAGAGAAGCTGGTGAATTTTGTGGTGGCTTGACTTCTAGTTGGAGGTGTCCAGTTGTCCCAAAGGATTTATTGGAACAAGAGAGGGCACAGATTCAAAAGAAACGGTCAAGAAGAAAAGATAAGGAGAAGGTTGAAGATCGGAAGACTGAAGCAGGAAAGCAGGTTTGTGGAATTTGTTTGTCTGAAGAAGGTAAAAGAAGAGTTCGAGGAACTTTGAATTGTTGCAACCACTACTTCTGCTTCGCTTGCATCATGGAGTGGTCAAAGGTTGAGTCTCGTTGCCCCCTCTGCAAGCAAAGATTTGTCACGATCAGCAAGCCTGCAAAATCAAACACTTGTTTAGATTCAAGGACTCTGGTTATTCAAGTCTCTGAACGTGATCAGGTAGTTTGGTCAGGTTTTTTTCTTCCAACTATTTGAGCTGCATTTTTTAGTATTTTTTTATTCTTTTAACCTGTGTGGTTGGTTATTTATAGGTATATCAACCATCTGAAGAGGAACTTAGGGGGTATCTTGATCCATATGAAAATGTCATGTGTACTGAATGTCAACAAGGTGGGGATGATGCTCTAATGCTTCTCTGCGATCTCTGTGATTCATCTGCACATACTTATTGTGTTGGTCTTGGGCATGAAGTACCTGAAGGGAATTGGTACTGTGAGGGCTGTAGACCAACAACTGCTCTTGATTCTCTGAACCAACAAAATTTGAATCTTCCTTTTGAGAGTAGAACAAGCAGCTTCTCTGTCAGATCACCTACACCCCTCCACATGCCAAATGTGAGAGAATCTTCTTTTGATTTAAATGAGATGTACATACCTGAGACTCCATTAAACCAGGAAGTTTTCAATGTTCCATCTCCCAGAACTGCTTTCCCACCATCAGGAACTGCCGCAACTGTTTCCGACAGGAGAAGGATACAACGCCAAATACACCTCATCCTCAATGACAGAATGAGACAGGGGGGTGATAATAGAACTACTGGGGTTCCAGCTGGTGTCACAGGGAATTATCTTTTTGGCTCTCAGATTACAGAGTTAGCTCCTCAAACCCATGTTTCTTTCCTTCACGGAAGAAGGTTGCAGGGTAGTAGTATCCCCGTTTTATCACAAAGTAGGAATGCTTTTGCTGAAGCATCCAGCCATTTTAGTGTGCAACCGTTTCAAAACCAACCTTCTACATCTGCTCACAGACCCTTTAGCGGATTGTTGTTACAAGGAGCGGTTAACTTAGGAATTGGTTCAGGGTTGGTTCATCAGCAACTCCATCCTTGCAGTAGCAGCAGACCTGACATTGTGCCTGATGCTAGGACATCTCCTTATCAATTTAGAGAGGTGAGACCCTTTAACACCTAAAACCATCTCGTACAGTCATTAAGTAATTTGGAAACATGTTTGTGGATGTTAGGAATTAACTGCACTTAGTTTGAATTTCCATTCTCTATTTCTCCTACATATTGTTTTGTGCCTTCATAAAAATGGAGTATAGACCAACCATGGGCAAAAATTTGAGCTACAATACTACACATGTCAGAAAAAAGTGGACAGAATGGGGGGAGTTGGCAAGTGTGTCGACCATTTTCTTGGAGCTTGTTTGGCATCATTACCAATTTTCAGTTCTTGGTTTTATGACTTTATTAGAGGAAGTACAAATTGCTTGCATAATAAAGCAAAAACAATCACTCATAGTCATACTTGTCATGCCATTTTTAAAAATAATACGATAGTACTCCGTAACAAATATTTTAAAACCACTTTTGCTGGTTTTTTTATAATTTTGTTTTACTTATAAAAAACAGGATACACAAAATGTTATGATGCTGAACAGAGCCTTCACACAATATTCTTGTTGTATGTAGAAAACTATTTTTAATGCTCTAGCCAGAGGCAGAAATTATTTCCCAGCTTATGGAATGGGAACCATTGTTTTTGCATCTACAACACTTAGTTTGCAGTGCACAATTGCACAAGTCCATGTAGTTCGAATGCAAATGCTAAACATCATCATCATTACCTGAGTGCTGCAAAGGCTTCCACCTTCGGTGGGGTAAGGGGGTCAGATGTACGCAATCTTACCTGTGTACTAAAGCACAAAGAGGCTGTTTCCGGATGACCTATAGTGAAAATCGTGTCGAAAATTGCATAGACTGACCGGTGCTTCATAACAAAGAAGCGCAGACAGTTCAATGAGTCATTTTGCTTTATTCCATCATATTCCCAAGCCAAAAAATAGAGAGTCTTTGGCTCCATTGCAAATGATGAAAAATGAATCAAATGCTAAGCAATGCATTCTTTTCTTATATAGGCTGCTGTACCTTCTATGCCTTGGTATGGAGGCTATACACATCAGTTTCGCTAACGGGAGTCCCGAGGGCCAGGGAAGTGAAATTTTCATTTAATCTCCAACGATTGGGAAAATTTTGATCTTATCATACACAGAAGGTTATCATATGTTGTTTGAATTTATCTGCAAGGAATATGGTGAACAATCTTAACAACGGTCTAATTATCTCCATCTGCTTCATGTTGTCCTTCAAGGCCCTTTCTTCACATTTGACACTTTCGCGCTGGCATTGCCCTGCATGTCTTCCTCACATTGACACTTGTGCACATCCATTTTCATGCAAGTCTTACTCACATTTTACCTGTCCATTTTCTAACAGTAATTATTTCTTTGATTTTCCCCATACAGATGCGGCAATTGGTTTCCAATTATTTCTTTCTGCCTATAAATATAATGACAAATTTCATTCATGGATAATCAACGAGGCCATCCACCTTGTCTCTCTAATTTTTCAGTTCGATTGATACATATTTTATTTCTAGAAATTGATCCTCTTTATTGTTTTTAGACTTGGACTCGGGCCGGGTGGCCCGACCCAGAACCGGCCCGGGACCAGTACTGTTCCGGCCCGGCCCGGCCCGGCCCGAACCGGTGGCCCGGTCAGTGACCGGTCCGGGTAGGCCCGACCCGATGTGTTTCCGGTCTGAGCTCGGGTCACCCAAAAAGCTCAGGTCACCCAAAACAAGGCCCGGCCTGGGCCTGGTTTGGGCCAAATTGATTTTTTTTTTATTTTTTTCATTTTTTTGGGCTCCACCCGGGTTAGGCTTGATGTTTAGGAGGGGTTTGGGGGGGTGGGGGGGGGGTCAAGGATGGGTAGGTAAGCAAAAAAAAAAATTAACCAAACCCGAGGCCCGGTCTGGCCCGGCCCGGAGCTGGACCGGACCCGGTGGCTACCCGGGCCGGTCTTGGTTCCAGCTATTCAGAACCGCCGGCCCGATCGGGCCTAGGCCCGGCCCGGGCCCGACTTGGCCCGAGTCCAAGTCTAATTGTTTTCCTTCTTATGAGTAAGAGTGGAGTCGGGCCGGGCCAACCGGCCCAGAACCGGACCGGCCCGCTACTGTGGGGGCCCGAACTAGCCCGGTGAGGTAGGCGGGCCGGGCCCGGGCCTCCTAAATCGTGAACCGGCCCGGCCGGTTCGGGCCCGGTTCGGGCCAAATTATTTTTCTCTCTCTTTTTTTTTGAATTTTTTTAAGTTTTTGGGTTGGGCTGGGTATGATGGGCCATTTGAGGTGGTTTGAGGTGGTTTGGGGGTGAGGGGAGAGGGTTGGGGGTTAATTAGGAAAAGCTAAAAAAAATACAAGAACCGAGGCCCGGCTCAGCCCGGCCTGGACCCGGGGTTACCCGGGTCGGTTCCGGGCCTCCCCTTTCATGAACCGAGGCCCGGCCAGGCCCAGGCTCGAACCGGGCCCGAACCGGAACCGGTCCACCCCTACTTATAAGGATAGACATAATAATAGTTATCATTATCGTTGTTATTACTACCTTCGTCCCACTATGATTGTCCCATTTTACCTTATCGGTCCGTCCCATTAAGATTGTCTAATACCAAATTTTGTAAAGTTTGTGTGGTTCTAAATCATTCTTACTTTATCAATTTAATATCAACCACATAAACCACTTTTTATTAATTTGCGTGTCACTCTCTCTTGTCCCAATGTTAGCGGGACGGAGGGAGTATTATATTATGATTATTGTTATTATTTTTACTATAGAGAGAAATGCTATCATATTTCCCCAACTAATCCGAAATATGTGGTAGTGTAGTAGTGTGAGTGAAGCCCAATATAATTTGAAATAATTACATATATATGACTAAATTAAAATTTGTTTACAAAAATGTGACTAGAGATTAGAGTAGTGATGGAATCATAGTAAATTATAGGGGTGGACTCGGGCCGGGCCAACCGGCCCGGAACCGGACCGGCCCGCCACTGTGCGGGCCCGGCCCGGCCCGGGAACCGGTTCGTTGGGCGGTTCGGGCCACCCGGCCCGGTGGATTCTCGGTTCGGGCTCGGGCCCTTCAAAAGGTGAACCGGCCCGGCCGGTTCGGGCCCGGGCCGGGCCAATTTTAATTTTTTTTTTGAAATTTTTTTGAGTTTTTGGGTTGGGCTGGTTATTTTGGGCCATTTGAGGTGGTTAGGGTTGGTTTGGGGGTGAGGGGGAGGGGTGGGGGTTAACTAGGAAAAGCCCAAAAAAAAAAATATACCCGAGGCCCGGCCCGGCCCGGCCCGGACCCGGGGGTTACCCGGGCCGGTTCCGGGCCTCCCCTTCTTGAACCGAGGCCCGGCCGGGCCCAGGCCCGAACCGGCCCGAGTCCACTCCTAGTAAATTATATTCATTTTTAAACTTAAATTATCATGACACTACTTTATAGTAACTATTAGTCGCATTTGTGTAAATAAGTTTTATTTTAGGAATATTTTTGAAAAATCCATTGCTTCTTTTGTATTTTCTAAAATATTTTATCGCGTCTTTCATTATTTAGATTTTTATATCTATCCATTTTTATTTTGGTTTTTATTTTTCTTTATTATTGCTGTTGTTTATTTCTCTCTTCATATTCTATTGTTTGGTAAAATAATATTTGATTAAATAGTTAAGCGAAAAGAAATAGGTGTAACAATAGAGTATAGAAAAAAGGAGGAGAGATGGTGAAATAATATGAAAGAGAAGATGATAAGTAGAAAAAGTAATGGTAATTGAGTAATTTTAAAAGAAAAATTTACCAATCAGGGAATGTAATAAAATTAAAATATATTCCAAAAAGAAAAGTGTGGCAAAGGAAAAAATATGTTGGGAGTATTAATAGAGTAATTCAATATTTAATTTTACGTCAATTGAGAAAGGAAAAAGATTGTTAATGCAATTATTATTTGATGTTCTTTCCGTTTTATAAAATTTTGTCAATTTTCTGAGCTGGGTTCGAGTATAAAGGAGTGAGGTTTTGGCTCAAGGCCTACTACATTGGAGGGTCATAAAATTATATTCCTCCCATCCTGTAACACCCCCAAATTCCCTTTTCAAAATGGTTCTTTGATTATAAGTTGTTTATAAGAAATAAACATTTAAGTTATGCAGCGGAATATAATAATATGGAATATGGGTGTGTCACCGCCACATTCAGCTCTTAATTAACTGAATGCTAAGGCTATCCACCATTAAAATATAAGAATAAAACTAAAGAGTTTCTAATTTATTTATTTAAAATAACGTTATACATTACTTTTATTTCTAATTTTTCTAAGCAACGCTCTCGAAGTTCGTCATTCGTCATAATCATCACCTGAAAATATCCACAGAGAAAAGAGAACACAAAAAGAAACTAAAATTAGCTTTCGCTAAGTAAAATTCCACCTAACCCCGTAAAATAATAATATTTGGAGAAAATATCTATATTTTGTATATATGCAGACTATAGATTGAAATATTATATATATTTGAATATTATAATTCAAATAATTGTCATAATAACCAATAGAGCATTCAAAAATAATTCAATGTCTCATATCATATGTATATATTAGAAAAATAGTAAGAATTCTAAAGTTGGCCTTTTCTTCACAGATTCTAAAGTTTCTTTTAAAGATAGGCGAAACTCAAGATTCCTTGAGTCCAATGAGTTGTTGTTATTTACAACTCATCCCAGAATTTCGGCTCCCACCGACCACCTGTTGGAAACTGAACTTCTACCTTAAGTGTGCACACCCCTAAAAGAGATTCCAAGCCCTCCGGGTAGTAAGAAGCCCAAGTAGCCCGGGTAGTTTATACCAGCTACTCCTCAAATGGATATACTCCCTGAGTGACTAGGAAACTACTACTCCGACCACCAAAGGACTTTTAAAGTCCTCACAAAAATACCGGAATGTCTACCGGATATTAATAACCCACAATAGTACCGAATCCACCAAAAACAGTAGTAGCCCCTAACCGCCCCCCTCACAATTAACAGTCGTGAAGGAGACTGACACCACGGATTTCTCTCGTGATGCCCACAATTATGAAAACTAATTTTTATCTGTAATTCTTTCCAAAACCCAATATCTTTTATAGATAGATAAAATTCCAACATTCTAAGAATAAGGATATTTGATCCTTAAAGTCAGATTTCTCAAAATAGTTCAAAATATGACAAACTATGTAAATAGCTCAAAATACGAAATACAACATAAATAGCTCAAACCCAAATAACATTTACAATCACAATTCATAATTCAAATACTCATGATTTAATTTGATACCAAATAAATAAATAGAAGTAACATTCACACATAGATTTACGAGGTAAATATATAATTTTGATTGACATGGAACTTACCGGTGACGCCTCTTACGCTCTTCTATTTCGTTTCTTTACAATGATCACCATTAATATTATAAAGTTGCATAATCATTATTTTGTTCTCTTTTTTTAATAAGTTTCCCAATTAACTTATGAGATATGATATTAATCGGTCTGTTTTAATCCATCATACTTTTATACTAATTTTATCTATTTCATTCGGCCTATAGGCTTATAGCCTAACTACCTCAGTTTTATTTGTTCTCATTAGAGTTACTTTTATTATTAGCTAATCGAGTTGGTTTTTCACTATCAGGCAGCCCAAACCATTTATTAAAATAAGCTCTATCCATATTATAAAGAAAGCAACAGAAACATGAGTATTACGTACTGCACGGTGCATTTTCTCCATTACGCAGGAACCACCGGCGATGAAGAATGCCGCAGCAACTTCCTCCGGCGAAGACGGTGCATGCTTCTATTTCAGCGGACAAGTAGTAGCTCGGCCTGGTGATGGAGTGCAGTCCAGTAAATCTCCTAGCGGCTTTTCTTCCTTCTCTGGTGAAAATGATCCTGTTCTTCGTCAGCGACGGCCGGCAACTTCCTCGACGGCGTGAAACGGTCTTCTCCCTCCCCTCTTTTTCTACCCATGTATGTATGTGTTTGTTGTTTAGTTGTTTTTTTAACAGAGCAAGCTAAGGGAAGATGTCTATCTATTTATATACTACATCCGTTCTCTTTTAATTGCAACATCGGACTTTTTGCACTATTCACATATTCTACTTTGACTATATTTTATTAATTAAAGTATTATAAATTAAATTTTTAAAAAATATTGTTAAATTCTTCTCATTCTAAATTTTCAAAATATGATTTTTTTAATTTTTTTACTAATAAGAAATGAAAGATATTAATGGTCAAACTTGTGCGTTGACAAACGTGAAATGTTGACTGCTGCAATTAAAAGGGAACGGAGGAAGTATTAGATGTATATATGTGTTTACTATTTTGTTTGTTTTGATCATAGTTAGACAAGCTAAGTATTGAGATGATTCATCTGAATAATTGGTGCGTGGATAGAGGTGTATGACTGGTTTGTGTTTGAGCTTTATCACTACATATATCTATTTATGCATATTTTATATATTTATAAATATATACTATATGTGTGTTTGTAATACGTACATAGTATTATACACCGTA